GATTGCAAGAACAACCCTACAGTGCAAAAGCAGCCCCTTCGCCTGCTCTGGCTGCCTGCACAACTCAGCGTTGGCTCATTAATCACTCAGCACACAGCCAGGAGAACCAAAAGGCTGGGACGCCTCCGCCAATCCGGGCCCTGTTGCTGCAGCAACGGCCTTTCGCCTTTGGAGGCTTCAAAAGATTTTCTCCCTCCCCACCCCTCCTTCGCTTGTTGTGTTGTGGAGGGCCTCTGCCGGGGTGTGTGTGTGTGTGAGTGTGCGTGTGGGCAGGCATGCACAGTTTCCCTGGGAATGGCTTGGCAAGCAGCGAGAGGAGGAGGAGGAGGAGGAGGAGGGAGGAGAGGATGGGGAGAGGAAAAGTGGAAAGGAGGGAGGGAGGAAGGAAGGAAGGAAGGAGGGAGGGACGGAGGGAAGGAAGGAAGGACGGAAGGATAAAAAAAGGAGGGAGGGAGGGAGAACAGAAGGGAGGGAGGGAGGAAGGAAGGAAAAAGAAAGGAGGGAGGGTGGGAAGAAAGGAAGGATCGAAGGAAGGAAGGAAGGAAGGAAAGGAAGGAAGGAAGGAAGGACCCCTCCCGGGGTCACGTGATCGCCATTTGTGACCTTCCCAACCAGCTTCCAACAAGCAAAGTCAACGGGGGGGGATCCCGCTTAACGACTGCAACGATTCACTTAACAACCCTGGCAAATAAAGTCAGGTGCAAATCGCTTAGCAACCCCATGGCTTAGTGATGGACAGTCACATGGTCATAAGCCAAAGACTACCTGTCGTTTCCAGCTCCAGCTCTGCTTTATCAGAGGAAGCAAATCAAGCTAAGTGCTCGGCGAAGAAGTTGTGTCTTAGATTAATTGTCATGCTTGTCTTCCCTTCCGAAGCATCAGAAATTCCCCTGCATTTTGTGTGTGTGTGTGTGAGTGTGTTTTGGTTTTTTGAAAACTCGTTTTCCTGAAAGGAGCTTGCTTTAGAAAGGCAGACAAAGGAGAAGAGAAAGGGGGTGAAATTTCCATGGAAAAATGAGATTCCCCCCCCCATATACTCAACCGCCAGGCAGGCAAGGAGTGAGGACAGTCCCGGATGCCCCAATTTGAACGTTTACTCTGAGTGAGCATCATTCAAAGGGACATTTCACATCTCAAGGGATGAGCTGGGTTGTATCCAACTGGCTCAGATCCATCTGTGGATGGGCAAAGACTTCCACGCCTAATATTTGGCAAGCGGATGAAAGAAACCGATCGAATTGGCCCATGTTGATGCTGGGCGATCAGATTCGACGGGGATGATCACTTTGAATCAATTCAAGGCATCCAATCGACCATCGGAAAGGCACTGGAGCAAAGCTGCGGTTGTAGAAGTACAGTGCTTCTCTGAAAATAAGACCGGGTCTTATATTAATTTTTGCTCCAAAAGACGCATAAGGGCTTATTTTCCAGTCAGGTCTTATTTCTGGGAAAATATAGCACTAAATGCGTCCGTCTGGGTGACAATCTTAACTGGGGCTTATTTTTGGGGTAGAGCATCCTTTTAAAAAATCATGCTAGGGTTTATTTTCCGGTTGGGTCTCATTTTTGGGGAAACACAGTAGTCCTCGACTTATGACCGTTCGTTTCAAAACAGCCCAGCAGTTGTTAAGCGAGTCCGGCTTCTCCCCCCTCCCCCACAAAAACCATAACGACATGCCAGTTGCCGAGCAACTGCATTTTGATCACGTAACCGTGGGGATGCGACGGTCGTAAGGGTGAAAACGAAGTCACTTTTTTCAGTGCCGTTGTGACTTCAACCGGTCACTAAACGAATGGTTGTAAGTTGAGGACTACCTGTTTTCGTTCATTTCTGCAGCCTCCCTGGTTTCTCCCCCCCACCCTTCAGTTGAATGGCACTCCGCTCTGGTTTTTCTCTTCCGCAACATTTCAGCATCCAGCCATTGCAGAAATATCCAGAGAACCCGTTCAAGATTATTATTTTTTTCCTTCCCTGACGAAATGTGGAATGTTTCATTCTCCAGTGCAGAATGAAAATTAAGGGGGAAAGAAACCCAACTACCTTTAGCCTTCTTGCTTTTTACTCAGTGATCTGTTGATGGTGGGCTTTACAACATTTAGAGGAGAATTTTCTGGGAGAGAAGGGAAGGGAAGAGAAAGGTGGGCTGAGAAGGCAGAACCGAAGCCACCGAGGTGAGAAAGCTGCTGTATTCCCATTTCTCTTTAGGTCAGAGAATAATCAGGGGGCGGACTTGAAGGAACAGGCAACGTAGAAGGTGATGATTCAAGTCAAATTCCCTAACGGTGAGGTCAGAGGCAAAGTTCTCCATGAAACCAACATCAAGAGACAGCCCAGGTGACGATCAAAGGCAGGATCAGTCCAAAAGCAGAGGTCGAAATAGGTTGTGGGGAAGAAGAACGAAGGTGGGTGGAGTCTTTGGTTGAGGAAGGTGGTGGATCTGAAGGCTGAAATGGCCAAGGAGACAAAAATGGAAGGTTGTTGAGAAGGTTGGTTGAAGACCAAGGATTGAAGGTCAAGGGTGGAAATGAGAAGGAGGCGATGCAGCTAAGAAATCCAAGGGGGGATTGGTGGGAGGGGGATGAACTGATTCTGGAGATGGAAAAAGAAGGAAGAGATGGGCTGTTATATCAATCAGGACTTCAGGTGGGACCAACACCTGTTGGCTTCTTTTCGTGGGTTGGCTGGTTTCAACCAAGATGCCCCTCAACTCAGCAACCACCCTAATGATGTTAAGACATAAGGACCTTCTACATCTCCACGAATGAAATGAAACACAGGCTTCCTTAGTCCTTCTTTGATGCTATAACCACTACACCACACTTCTTTTTTGGTCATGAATGTTTAGTGAACTGCAACAGTTGTTAAGTGAGACAGTCATTAAGCAAATCCGTCATTCTCCATTGATTTTGGTTGTTGGAAGCCAACTGAGAAGGTTAAAAAATGCTGATCACATGACCATGAGATGTTGCAACATGCCAGGTGTCAAGGGCCCATATTTTGATCCACGGCAATGCTGTCGTAAGTGTGAGGACTGGTTGTAAGTCATTTTTTTCACTGCTGTTGTAACTTTAAATGGATATATGTCGAGAGGTATCTGTATTTATCTGATTTATACAGCTCCACATTTAAGAAATGTGAGTCTTACGGTATCCGAGTCTATCGTTATGCACTTTTAATAACGGTTTTATTCTATGATAAAACAACGTATTCTTTGAGTAGAGTGCTATTTATACAGTATTGACTAGAGATGATTAACCCTCTAATATTTAGATAAATTAATCCTTTAAAGATAAAGAAAAAGAAGAGCTTTAGATCAATATTAACTATATTTTTTTTAAATGTCAATGTTGATAAGCATAAAGTTGCTTAAATTTTATGTCCGTAGTGAAATGTGGCTCTATCAAACTCTTTGTGATACACTAAAGGTTTCTTTCTTAAACTGAATACTTAATATGAAGGTCTCTGCTTCATATTATTCCTTGTTTTTGCTTGTGCTTATTCAAGAGTAAAGAAAGAGAAAGAAAAAACTAAATAAACCACAACAGAAAGCAAAAATGGTTTTTTTAAAAAAGTTATATGATTCCTAAGTTGCCCCTTTTTACTTCTACAACTCTGCTGTGTTTATAAGCATTTAGGCCATTTTGTGTTCATATCAGCCAATGTGACAAGATAGAAATAGGAAAATTCAGAGAAATACAAGTTAGTCAGTCTGTTGGCAATACCTAAAAACTTCCCACAATAATAGTTTGTAACAGAATAACAGAGTTGGAAGGAACCTTGGAGGTCTTCTAGTCCAACCCCCTGCTCAAGCAGAAGACCTTATAACCATTTCAGACAGGTAGCTGTCCATTTGTCTTCTTAAAAACTTCCAGTGTTGGAGCATTCACAACTTCTGGAGGCAAGTTTTTTCCACTGATTAATTGTTCTAACTGTCAGGAAACTTCTCCTTAGTTCAAAGTTGCTTCTCTCCTTGGTTAGTTTCCATCCATTGCTTCTTGTCCTGCCTTCTGGTGCTTTGGAAAATAGGTTGACCCCCTCTTCTTTGTGGCAGCCCCTCAAATCTTGGAAGATGCTATCATGTCTCCCCTGGTCCTTATTTTCACGAGACTAGACATATCCAATTCTTGCTTGGATATGTTCTTGCTTGCTTCTTTCATATGTTGTAACTTCCAGCCCCCTAATCAGGGTTGAAATCCAGCAGGTTCTGACAGGTTCTGGAGAACCGGTAGCGGAAATTTTGAGTAGTTTGGAGAACCAGCAAATACCACCTCTGGCTGGCCCCAGAGTGGGGAGGGAATGGGGATTTTACAATATTCTTCCCCTGCCATGCCCACCAAGCCAAGCCCACAGAACTGGTAGTAAAAAAAATTGGATTTCACCACCGCCGCTAATCATCTTTGTTGCTCTTCTCTGCACTCTTTCCAGAGTCTCAACATCTTTTATGGCGACCAAAACTGGATGCAGTATTCCAGGAGTGGTCTTACTAAGGCTTTATAAAGTGATACTAACACTTCAGTCATCTTGATTCTATCCCTCCGTTGATGCAATCATAAAGAGATTGATCTGTTCGTATCGTTTGAAAGCAATGTGGCGGTTATCATATATCAGCAGACTTTTCCTGAAGAAGAATATAATGGATAACTAACATAATAGATTGCAGGAATGCTGCAGACGTAATGTATCTTGATTTTTAGCAATGTACATTCTGAGCATGGGCTGGGTGGAAGGACCATGAAATCGATAACTACGAAAATTGTACATAAAGAGTTCTTCTTCTCGAATTCCAAGCGCGAATTTGCCTCGAAAGCCAGTAGGCTCAATTCTAGATCTTCTTTTCCTTCGATATTTTTTTTTTTTAATGACTGGGATGAAAAGGTAGAGGGAGTGCTTGTCAAATCTGCAGCTAATACAAGAAGGCAGAAATTAAATTCCTTCTTGTATGTTCAAGAAATAGGTTGGGGGGGGGAATTGCAGTACAGTGTGTGATTTAGCGCAGGCATATGCCAAGAGATTCTCTTAGGGAACCGAGATAAACACTCAGGTCTAGGACAGGGCATCTTTTGCGCGATAATCAAAAAGAGAGAAAAACACCCCATGGGGGGGGGAGAGAGAATGAATCTGGCTGTTGAAACTGATCACATGCCAAACATAAATCAGATGGGTGATGCCTTCGCTGGAAAAGCCAATCCCTTGACAGGGCTGGTGAGAAGGAAATGCCAGGCGTGTGCAAATCTTCGCCCTGAACTTTTGCTTCGGGTGAACATTTCAAGGGCTGCCGCCGGGGTGCCTGGACTTGCATCGTTTGGGACGGGTGAGAATGGCAAGGAAGGAATGCGTCATCAACCCTTCCCTTCGCCCGGACATGAGCATCGCCGGCTTCGCCTCCATCCTGCCCGGGCCATGGTTGGGCACTGAACGGAGCTCGTTCAGCAGCTCTGGTGATTATTGGATTATTTAGATTGTGGGTCTGTGTTGCACCGGCTGTGTGGGGAGAGTTTGGGGTAGACCTTCACCGGCTGCTGGTAAGACCATTCCCAGACAGCAGAGCAATCAAGGGCTTTCAGGGAGCCTGCCTCTGCTTAGGCCACCTGGCTCAGAACAATCCTGGTCAAATGGTTGTCCGGTCTATTTTTGATAGATGATGGAGCACCCACAATTCCATCACTGGAGGCTTTTAAAAAAGAGATTTGGGCAAACCATTTGTCTGAAATGGACTAGGCATGATAGCCAGCTGGGCGACTTTGGGTCCATCATGAGGAGATGGGGAGTTCTAGTTTCACCTTAGCCACCAGTTGCGTGGCTTTGGGCCAATTGACAAGAGAGAGTTCTAGTTCCGCCTTAGCCATGAAACCCAGCTGGGTATGACTTTAGGCCAGCCCTTCTCTTTCAGACCAACCCACCTCACAGGGTTGTTGTTGCAGGGAAAATAGGAGGAGGAAGGAGCATTAGGCACGCTTGCTGTCTTGAGTTGTCAAACTAATAAAGGCAGGATATAAACGAACGAACGAATGAATGAATAAAAAATGTATATGCTGCCCATCTCACTTCACTGCTGTAAGTGTGCTGGGCTTTTCTCTCTTTTTTTAGCATTTGAACAAAACTTTCATTTTTATTTTATTGTATATTTTATTTTTCTTCCGGAAAGAAGGCGTTGCAACCGGCCCCAACAGTATCCTGGTTTTAAAAAACAAGAAGGAGAAATACTTTTGCCAGCCAGTCTCCCCGTTAGGCAATCCAAGAATGGAGAGGAACTATGTGAGACGCCAGTCTCTTTCTCTCTCCCCCCCCCCCTTTCCTTCCTTCTGCATTGCACACATTCCTAGCAAACCTCCCAGGCACCAAGGCAAGGCCAGCCAACGTTTTTGCACGTTTAACCCCTTCAAAACTCCGACTGAGAGAGTCTGCCAGGACTTTGGGGCCCCAAACCCCAGACTTGCTTGAGCTTAGAGAGGAAAAGAAATATCGCAGAGAGAAGGTTCTTCCAGATTTTGCAAAGCCCACTCGCTTGCTGGTTTTCCCGTTCTCTTCCTCTCCTCCCCAACCTCTAAGCCCAGGGAGGGATTTGTTTTCAGTACTTGGGTGAGACTGCCTGGACGTGGTTGCTTTGAAAAGCAAATGTTTGAGGCCCCGAGCGATTGAAAATATCCAGCTCTTCTGGAGGAACACGGTGGTTCTATCTCCAGGAGGATCCATGGTAGATCCAAAGATGGAACTTCTTCTCCAGCTGCAAAACAAGGGGCGTTCAGGATGCAGCTGGAAGAACAAAGAATCCCCAGAGGTCTTCCAGTCCAACCCCCTAGTTCAGCGGTGAAATCCAAATTTTTTTACTACCGGTTCTGTGGGTGTGGCTTGGTGGGCGTGGCTTGGTGGGCATGGCAGGGAAAGGATACTGCAAAATCCCCATTCCCTCCCCACTCCTGGGGGAAGGATATTGCAAAATCCCCATTCCCACCCCACTCTGGGGCCAGCCAGAGGTGGTATTTGATGGTTCTCTGAACTACTCAAAATTTCCGCTACCGGTTCTGCAGAACCTGTCAGAACCTGCTGGATTTCACCTCTGCCCTAATCAAAGCAGGAGATCTTATACCAACCCCGTCAAAGATTGGTAGTCCAATCTTTTCATGAAAACCTCAGGGATGGAGCACCCGCAACTTGAAAGCCATTCCAATTGTTCTCAATGTAAAGAACTTTCTCCTTAGTTCTAGGTTGCTTCTTTCCTTCATAACTTTCCGTCTGTTGTTAAGTGAATCTGGCTTCCCCATCAACTTTGCTCGTCCCCAGGACACTGTCATAGAGATGAGTCATGTTGTCAAGCATCTGAAGTTTGATCCAGTAGGGATGCCACAACAGTTGTGTAACTGTGAAAAATGGCCATCTGCAGGGGTTTGGAAGTGCACGTGCCACACACGTCACATGCACGCGTGGACCCTCTGCGCATGAGCAAACCCTTCTGTGCATGCGCAGAGGGTAGAAAACAGGTTACTTCCTGGTTAAAACCAGGAAGCAACGACGACGGGGCGGGTGGGTGGAGCCTCGTGCCGCCATCACTACCAGTTCTCTGAACCACCGGCCGCCATCGCTACCGATTTGACCGAACCGGTCCAAACCGGGAGCATTTCACCCCTGGCCATCAGTCCCTTTTTTCGGCGGCTGTTGTAACTTTGAATGAACCATTATAAGTCGTTGTCACTATACGAACCGTTGTTAAGTCGAGGACTACCTGTACACCCATGGTACATTTTCTCCCCACTTCCTGCCAGCCGTTGCTTTGCACACAGACACACCCTCCAGATGGCTTCCTTGACTGTCGTTTCCCAGTGGGAGGGGGGAAAAACATCCCCCCCACGGCTCACATCCTAGCAAATCCTTGTCATTGCGGAGGGCTCGCGAAGGGCGAGAGGCGAAGGGGGTCTGGGCAGCTGCTTACGGCAATCAATGGTAATTGATGGCAATCGATGGGACTCAATAGGGATCGGTGCGCCTCAGCCATCACCTTGGCTCCTGGCTTGGGGGAGGGTGGGGAAAGCCATCTCGTAATGGTTTTTGGGAGGTGGGCGTGAGACACATCCTCCGTGGAGGCAGGTCCACCTGCCCCATGTGGAGGGAGGGGGGATAACGGGGGGGTGGGGAGGACCAGGGTCCCCACTCAGCTGGGCTGCCACTCCAGGCCTGGCTCCTGTCTTTCGCCATCCCCTTCCCTCGCTTCTTCTCATCCGTGTGTGTACACATTCAGCCATCCCCACGCCACACCGACCCCTCCTAAAAACAGAAGGGGGGGTCTTTTTCCAGCCTCTCTCTGCCAAGAGGCCAAATACTCCAGAGGGGGGGAAGAAGGCCCGCATGCACACACACACAGACACACACACACACAGAGAGAGACCCCAACAAATGAGCTGCATAGTGAAGATAAGCAGCATCTCGCCCAAAGAGCTGGCGTGACAACCTCGCCGCAGCTCCGCGATTAATTTCAGCTAATTTCCTGCGAGGGCTGTTTTGGTTTGGAGGTTGTTGGAGAGGGGGGTCTCCTCTGTCTCTCTCTCTCTCTCTCTTTCTCCCTCTCTCTGCCTCTTTCCGTTTCTCTTTCTTTCTCTTTCTCTTTCTCTCTCTCTCCTTCTTTCACTCTTTCCATCTGTCCCTTTCTCCCACTCTCTTCTTTCTCTATTTCTCTATTGCTTTCTCCCTCCCTCTTTCTGTCTTTCTCCGTCTCTTTCTATCTCTCTCTATCTCTCTCTCTCTCTTTCACTGTCTCTTTCCCTCTGTCCCTCTTTCTCCCACTTTCTTCTTTCTCTATTTCTCTCTCTCCTCCCGGTCTCTCTCTCCCTCTCTCTCTCTCTGCCTCCCTCTTCTCTCCCAGAAGCAGGACTAACACAGGTTAAAGCATAACTTGTCTTGCTGTTTAGCGACTCTACCTACCGCTCGGTAATTATATGCACTGCCAGGGATCCAATCCGACGTCAGCCTGACAGATAACGATCTTCCCGTTTTATTTTTAGCTCTGTGCTACCCCCTCCAGATTCAAAAAAAAAAAATCTGTTTGTTCCATTTCACTCCAACCCCCCCCCCCCCTTTTTCTCCCCCCCCCCCCGCATCATCCTTGCTTGGTTTATTTTCCCCTTTTCCTTTAATTTTTTTTTTTAATTTGCTGCAGCTTCCTGCTCTCTTCTCCTCTTCCTGCAGCTGCTCAGCATGGCAGGGAAGCCGGGTGTAAGATGTGCCAGCCAGGCACCGCACAAGCCCCTCACAGCCCCCTCCGAGGGGGAGCCAGGATTCGTTTGTTTTGCAAAATCCAGCCTGCCCGCTTTGCGCCTTGCTCCAGGGAGGGAAAGGCGAAAGCGAGAAGCTACGAATCGGATCAAAAAAAAAAACACCAAATGGGGTTTTTTTTTTTCTTTTTCATAATGGGAGGCGTAAAGAGGACGGAGGCGGGGAGGGAGGAGAAATAGGAGATTGTTAAGCTTGGATGGCTTTAGAAACCAGCATCGGGCCAATCATGGTTTGCAGGGAAGGAAACACAGCTAGTCCTCGACATACAACAGTTCATTTAGTGACCATTCAAAGTTACAACAGACCGTTTTTCACACTTACGACCCGTGGTCACGCGATCAAAATTCAGACGCTTGGCAACTGGCATGTACTTATGACGGCTGCAGGGTCCCCTTGTCTGCCCTTCTGACAAGCAAAGTCTATGGGGAAGCCGGATTCATTTAACCAGCGTGTGCCTGGCTTCACAAGTGCAATGATTGCTGTTAAGTGAATCTGTTTCTGTGAGAGGACAAGTTGTGTTCAAATAAGAACCCAACCCTCTCTGCCCCCTTGACTTGGATGGGAGGCTGGACTAATGGAACCGGGCGGGAGGAAGGAAAGGAGAGGGAGGGAGGAGGAGGGAGGGAGGGAGGGAAGGAGGGAGAGGAGGAGAGGGAGGGAGGATGGGAGAGAGGAACGAGAAGAAGGAAGAGATAAAGGGATAGGAACGGAGGGAGGGAACAAGGAAAGAAAGGAGGAAAGAATGGGAAGGAAGGAAGGAAAGAAATAGGAAGGAGGGAGGGAGATTGGAATAGGAAGGAAGGAATTGATAGTTGGGAAAGAAGATGAAAGAGGAAGGAAGGAAAGAAGGGAAGGAGGGAGGGAGGAAGGAAGGAAGGAAGGAAGGAAAACGTGTAACTCTAAAGCTTTTGTTGTATTGCAATTATTACAGAATTATTGATTTCTCTCCCACCTTTTCTCAAAGAACACAAGGCAGCACATGTAACGCAAGAACCTGATGAAATAAGATGGGCTAAGAGGGAGAATTTGGCTTCCTAACATGCGCTGCGTTTCCAGGACGGAGAGGCGCCCTGTGACGGGGCCTCCCCAGCCCTCGGCTGAGTCAGCTCAACTCAGATCATCCAGGATGCACGGGAGGGGGGCGGGGGGGGGGAGAACTGCCTGCGCCCCAAAC